TCTTAAACACTGTTGCTAACCATCTAAACATTCTCCCTCTCCTGATAATAACATTTTACTTTCTTTGGCATTGAATGTGCTACTACTAGTTTACCCGTTTAATTATAGATTCACTAGGATAAATACAATAAAGTTTATCTCTCGCCAAATAGAATATTTACTAAGAAATCACAATGTAACCTAGAAAGTGTCTGCGTGTGTGTGTGCGTGCATGCGTGCGTGCATGCGTGCGTGCATGCGTGCGCGCGCGCGCGCGTGTGTGTGTGTGTGTGTGTGTGTGTGTGTGTGTGTGTGTGTGTGTGTGTGTGTGTGTGTGTGTGTGTGTGTGTGTGTGTGTGTGTGTGTGTGTGTGTGTGTGGGTGTCTGCTCTGTCTTCTCGATCCCCAGTGAGCCGTGGAGGATGGCTGCTTATACTGAGCCAGGATCCTCTGGAGGTTTCTCCCTGTTAAAAGGGAGTTTTCCTCTCCACTGTCACTAAATGCTTGCTTAGTATGAGGATTGCTGTAAAGTCACTGACTAGTGCCAGATGCAATTTGCTGGGTTCCTTATATGGGAAACTTTTTTTCTGATTGGCTTAATGGACTGACCTGTATTGGAATGTTTACTATGTGAAGTACCTTGGGACGACTCTTGTCATGATTTGGCGCTTTATAAATAAACTTGAATTGAATTGAAAAGTTACCTTTAGGTGGCAGCATAAATCTCATTCCTGAAACGTAGATGAAATGTGTTCTCTGTGAAAATCCGGAACACGGGGATTAGAAATGTCACATGTGAACAGATTTATGTAAACATGTTCTTGAAACTGTGAAGGCTAAATTTTCTCCAGATGATCAGAATCAAACAGCAGAAGCTGGATGAGTCTCTAACATCAGACAACATCAAACTTGTTCAACCAGGCAAAAGGCGGCACCTGAATGAATTAGATGATTTAAAATTTCCTCGAAAGTTTAAGTCCCTGATTTTCACTCACCTACCGAATCGTTGTCTCTGTAGAATCTTCAGTCAGATAAAGAGCAGATACACCTGTTTCCTGTTTGAGAGTTCAAGAGAAGCATCAAAGATCAGAGACACACTGCTGAAGTTTTCTCCTAGATCCTAAATGTGGCTCAGCGGCAGGAGGAGATTAGCTTATCCCTGCTGATGAACACATCATCTTACCGAAACAGCGCTGAGCTGCTGATGCATATCACCTGAAAAACTGGAACGTTCACTTCATCTGTTCCTTTTTTTTCTTCACAGAAGAAAGGAAATCTTTCTAATAAGGAAAAGCTACTGCTGGGACACTTTTGTTGTCATTCTAACTGCTGAGAGGAAACAGACGTCATATTGATTTAAAAACAGATGCATACTTTCAATTTAGGGAAATAATTCCACCTCATAATTAAAAGCATTTTAAAACAGCACAATCCAAACTAGAAACCAGGAAAACTGGGTTTGAGCTGAACTATTTCCAGCTATTTCAGCTGTTAACTTTGATTTTTTCTCTAAGTGTTTTTCTCCCCAGAAGAAGCTACAATGATGTTCTGCTGAGCTGTGGTGGCCTCATGGAGGGGGCCATTGGCTTGAACACTGCTGCTAACCATTTAAACATTCTCCCTCTCCTGATAATAACATTTTACTTTCTTTGACATTGAATGTGCTACTACTAGTTTACCTGTATAATTATAGATTCACTAGAATAAATACAATAAAGTTTATCTCTCACCAAATAGAATATTTACTAAGAAATCACAATGTAACCATAGAAACACTATTTTGTGTGTGTGTGTGTGTGTGTGTGTGTGTGTGTGTGTGTGTGTGTGTGTGTGTGTGTGTGTGTGTGTGTGTGTGTGTGTGTGTGTGTGTGTGTGTGTGTGTGTGTGTGTGTGTGTGTGTGTGTGTGTGTGTGTGTGTGTGTGTGTGTGTGTGTGTGTGTGTGTGTGTGTGTGTGTGTGTGTGTGTGTGTGTCTGCTCTGTCTGCTCTGTCTTCTCAATCCCCAATGAGTCGTGGAGGATGGCTGCTTATACTGAGCCAGGATCCTCTGGAGGTTTCTTTCTGTTAAAAGGGAGTTTTCCTCTCCACTGTCGCTAAATGCTTGCTTAGTATGAGGATTGCTGTAAAGACTCTGACACTAGTCAGTGACTTGATGCAACCTGCTGGGTTCCTTATATAGGAAACTTTTTACTGACTGGCTTAATGAACTGACCTGTATTGGAATGTTTATTATGTGAAGTGCCTTGAGACGACTCTTGTCATGACTTGGCGCTTTATAAATAAACTTGAATTGAATTGAACTTCCTGTTTGAAACAACTCATTGAATACTTCAGGATATAAAGTTTTAATGGCATACGAGGGTGAAAATAACAGCTTTGCATCTACTGAGCAGCATTTAGTCAGATAGTACACTCAGTTTCATTCATTCAACTTCCATCCAGTCAGTCGTTCCAGTTCTAATCACTTCAGATCTTCATTTGATGAATCGCCGTGGTAATGAGTCCAGAAAGGCTTCAGTAAAATGTAATTTGACTACAGTGTAATTCATTATGATTTATGTCATTCAGGTTTAATATTTTCTTCTATCAGTTCTTCCAGCATCCAGATGTTTGTGCCGAAGTGGGGATGCTAACAGATGGTCAGACTCAGGATGGTTTCACCCTAAAAAAATACACGAATATGAACTCAGGGAGAGAACCTTCTCCTTCTTCATCAGTAGATGTGACAACGGAGACATGGATCAGAGTAACATGACCATTTAGGATAGAAAACACGCAGACAGTTATTTGAGAGAGGACTGGGGGGTCCTCCAAGGCTCGATCCTCGGCCCACTTCTTTTTGCTATTTATCTGCTCCCCCTCGGCTCAATCTTCCGCAAACAGGGCCTTGCATTTCACCTATATGCAGATGATTGCCAGATTTACACCTCATTTCGTCCGGGGAATGGTCTCTCTTTGACGTCACTTGTGTCGTGTCTCAAAAAGGTTAAGCCTTGGTGCGACAAACTATCTGCATGTTAATGAGGGCAAAAGAGAGCTCATTATTTTTCATCCTAACAGCAAGCAGGGCACAGGATCCGAGGTTGATCTGGGCCACCTCTCACCCTTTTTGAAGCCAGTTGTTGGGGTTGAGAATTTACTCTTGACTTAAATTTGATGCTCACATCAATGCCGTGATCTGATCCTGTTTTTTTCCATCTGCTACGCCTTTCAAAAATCAAACCTTTGTTGTCGGGAGTCCACCTGGAGCATGTACTCCATGCATTAGATTATTGCAATTCTCTCTATGCTGGGCTTGGTCAGTCATCACTGCGTCGTCTTCAGATTGCACAGAACAGCGCCGCCAGGCCAGGCACATTTTAAACTCCTGGTTTTAGTGTTTAATTTCTTTCAGGGAGACGCCTGTCCTTACTTAGCGGCGCTCCTGAAGAGACATTTGCCTTCACGCACTCTGTACTCTTCAGCTCAGGGCCTCTTTGTCGTCCCACGCACTAAGTGTTGAACTCGTGGGGACCCAGTCCCATCACTGTGGAACCAGTTGCCACCTGCAGTTAGGCTGTCTACCTCTGCTGGTTTTTAAGAGTCGACTGAAAACTTTTTTTCAATTAGCGTTTTCAGAACATGTTTGACGTCAGCATGCTTTTATGTTATTTTTAGTTCTTGCTTTTAATTGCTGTTTTAGTTCTTGTTAGGTCACTATTATTTATTGTTTTATTCCATTTGCCTTATGCTTTACATTTTATGTTCTGTTTTATGATCATGTCTTTTTACGTTTTCTAGCGCCTTGGGTGCCCGAAAAGGGTTGTGGAAGGCACTACATATAAATAAAGCTTTGATTGATTGATTGATTTAGCATCACAACATATTTTTCTCCCAGGTTAACTTGTGTTTTAAAGACAAATTCCTCATATTGATGCGTTTAACATATCCTGTAACACTTTACAATGAGGGTCCCTTTATTGACGATATTTAGGGCATTATTAAGCATTAATAAACAAAGGGTCACTTAAGCAATAAGGGTCTCGTTCCCGTTATTGTTAACTATTGAGGGTCCTTAAGGTTTGGACAAAGGGCTGGGGTGTGTATGTGTCTGCTCAGTAATGCATTAAATATAATGGTTGAACAATTGTTAATACTTTATTTAATAGTTAATTAATGCTTAATAATGCACTAAGTAACTTTAATAAAGGGACCCTTGTTGTGAAATATTCCTATTTATCTAAATAATGTGGTTAAAAGTTTTTCAAGGTTGTCTGTTTGCTTGCAATAAACTGCTTTTAGATATTGTTTCTAACACTTTCTGTACTTTAAAAGTTATGCCTGTGATTCAAACATTAATTATGGTGAAGTAGCTTCAGCAATAAGAACAGAGCTCTCAGTGAAGAAAGGTGGGGTTTTTTTATGAGAATTAGCTGCATCCACTGACAAAATGCAGTTCTGCCGAGCTAAGGTCCTTTTTGTGTTTTGGTGTAAATGCAACTGTATGTCAGAGTTTTGATGTGGGTTTACGTAGCTGGACCCTGAGGACAGACGTACACAGAACAAGCTCTGTTGCTCCGTCTGTCTCTCCCATCTGAAGAATGTGGCTGTGCAGCTTCATCTTCCAGCACCTTGTCAGGTAAAAACTGGCTGGAGCTGTTTCTAAGTCACAACTCTGAGTGCACCGGTCTGTCAAACTGGTTATCAGCTTGCTGTTCTCCAGGTTTTAGTAACCCAATTCATTACTCCTCCTTAAACCGTCACCTTATCGTGGTGGAGGAGTTTGAATGCCCTAATGATCCTAGGAGCTATGTTGTCTGGGGCACTTTGTGCCCCTGGTAGGGTCTCCCATGACAAATTGGTCTTAGGTGAAGCATGAGACAAAGAATGATTCAGAGGATCTTTCATGGATGTAAAAACAAAGAGTCGGAGTACCCGGCCCGGAGGGTTACCGGGGTCCCACCCTGGAGCCAAGTCAATAATTAAATAATAAATAATGTGAAAGCTCCTCTCCTTCCAGAGAAATAACCAGAATTCACAAAGATTAAATGTATTTAATTTATTAAAACTTTTAATAGGATTGGGCTGATTTTAAGAATCTTATGAAATCCTTCTCTCAATAATTAAATCCAACATTTGTTTTGTGAAGTGCTGCAAAACTAAACACAAACCCAAAAAGACTAAATAAGAGAATAAAAACCTATAAACTTTAAAATGAATGCAGATCAGAGTTCATGTAGGAATTTGATTCTGACTAAACACGCTGCAGGTTTTTCACGGTTATTAAACTTGTAATTAGAATAAATAGATAATAAAAAAAATAAAGAACAAAGGCCATACGACGCATAAAAAACTTAAAGACGCGGTGGTGAACTGCATTTTGAAGGCAGTAACACAGCTGCAACAGCCTCTGGCACAAATCCATAGCAACAGCATCCCTCCTGAGTTTGAACTATTGTAGATGCTCGCTGTTCTAGTGTTAGCTCTTCCAGGTATAGCTGGAGTCTCTCATGTAGATGTGCGTGAGAGCAGCCTTTCCCAGGCTGGAGGGCTGCTCCAGATGTTGGAAAGAAGCAGGAGGGAGACCAAAGCCCGCTGGGTCCACAGAACCACTGCTATGCTGTAGAACAGAGAAGCTGTTAAGCTGAGGGTCACAAGGGTAAGTGTGTGGATCTCATGTCTACGTGTACACACCTGTAGTTTACTGGTATTTACATTCATGATGGCAGAGGGTGCGTGTGTGTAGAGAGCAGCTGAGAAGGTTCCTTTCTGTGTGAGCTGCAGCAGGCGTGTGATGGCGTGAAGCGACGAGGGGAGGATGGGTCCTGCAGAATAGATCAGACACGTGGTAAACATAAAGGTTCAAGTATGAGATCATTAAAGATGTTCATACCAAGTGTTCTAGGGTGGGCCATGAAGGGTTAAAGTACAGAACTCTTTCTGGCTGCCTGCCCACTACCAAACCGAATCCGCACCACTGACTACGGCAAAAGAGGAGATCAAAACTCGTCTTCGCCATCGCAGCAGATCCTCTAGAGACATCATCTACGTTTGGGTTGCTCAGTACCTGTGATCTCCAAACTGCTAATGTTCTGGTAGGTAGAACCAGCCCGGGTCTTCACATTCACACTAGAGCCCTGGAAAACATCACATCTACAATCACAATCAGACACCAACATGTTCCAATTTGAGCTCATTTGTATGTAAGTAATAGTTTTACCGCCCACCAGTCACACCTCCAGCTCTGATTACAGAGTTTACGGTTTTAGGCTAACGCACTAAAACTGGAGCCAGCTAACCCGGCCTGGAGGGCTTTAAAGGTACCTTCAGCACGTTGGCCGTGGCCCCTCTGAAGGGCGTGGGGGCCAGCAGCGTTGGAGGCAGTCCCGTCTGAGACCCCGCTGCAGCCACCAGACTCTTACAGTTGATGAGGAAGTTGATGAGGTTGAAGGTGTGTGACCCTTCCACACACACTACAGACTCTGGTTTATGGTCCAGAGACACCGCAGCAGCATCCTTATGGCTACACGTGAGGTCAAGTAGAGAACGTGTTATTATTGGATGTTGTGGTTAAATGTGGGAGGAGACAGGAGGAGGATACAGCTGCAGGTTGATGCCGTCAGGTTTCCTGATTTTATCCTGGATTCCCATCTCCTTCAGCCACGAGAAGCTGTCATCCTTATGTTCGTCTCCATCACACGAGAGAGAGTCCTCGTCCTCCGTCAGGCTCCCACTAAACATCGAGATCAGGGGAAAACTTTAATATAGCCTCTACTGAATCCATTTCTTGATCAAACGAGGAAGAAGCAACATTTACGGCTCCTTCAGATCTAAAGCATCTTCAGCTCACTTTCACCCCATCTATTAAACTGAAAAGTTCTTTATTAAGTGAATAAAAAAGCAACTCTTCAGCTCAGGAGCCGCAGATTTAAACAGCAGCCACAAACTCACTGATGCGCCTGCAGCCTCTCAAGAGTTCCTGCTGCTCTAAACATTAAAATAATTATTTCATTTTCTGTTCCTCACTTCTGATTACCTTCAATGGTGTCTGTTTGTTGCAACAGCAGGTACAAAAACTAACTTGTTTTTATTTGACTATTTTTCTGTCTTGTCTGTTTATTATCTTCCTGCATCTCCTCTCAGTCCTAAAGAAAAACTGCTACCTGGCTTCATATATATTCACCTCATGAGTTACCTTTGAACTGCAGTTCTAAAAGATCTACCGACCGCAAAAACAGCGGAGTGCTCGCCGGCCACACTGGTGGGGTGAAATCACCGGAGGACAAAACAGGTGATGCGCTCCGCTCCACAGCAGCGAAAAGCATCGGGCACAAATACAGGGTATATGCAAGGATCTCTTAATTAAATTCAAGACTTTTTAAGACCTTGTAAAAATAAAATTAAGACTATCGCAAAGAACTAATCAACTGTTAAACACTCATATATTGTTTTTTAAATACTGCATCACTTCGTTTCCCCCTTCATGTCGGGTTACGTCACATCCGGGACAGCGAGGGTGTAGCAATAATACGTAAAGCCACGTGGTACAAAAATGCAAACCGTGCGCATAAAAGAACAATATATATATATATATATATATATTTTTTTTTTTTTGTTTACATGCATCTATTTTTCATAGCCACGAACTCCGAGGCTGTGAAAAAAGTGACAACTAAAATAACTCCCCCAAACAAGGTCCTCACGTGCTGCAGATGTGCATCTATTCTACAGTGGATTTTGTAGTGACCTCTGACATTTATTTACTTTTATTTTATTGAGAATATTAAAAAAAAAAATTATGTGATGTTTTTGCAAAATGCAAGCAATTTTCTACCAGTCCTACTGTTCAAGAGAGTTAAATATAATAAACCGAAATAACTAATGAGATAATGATTAGGGATCATCATATAATAACTGGATGTGATGGATGGATGGATGGAGGGATGTGATGGATGGAGGGATGTGATGGATGGATGGATGGATGTGATGGATGTGATGGATGGATGGAGGGATGTGATGGATGTGATGGATGGATGGGATGGATGGGATGGATGGATCTCTTAAATAACTTTAGAATAAAGGCTTTTTGTTTTGGTAACGTCTCTCTGTGTTTTTCCGTTTTTGTGCCCTTTAATTTCAAATAAACATTTGTTGATTTTCCTCCTGTCAAGTTTCATGTTACCCCCTCCTCTCCACACACGATTCACCAGCGTCATAAAAGAAAAAACAGATATGGGTCGCATGTGGGGAAAAAAGCGGATCTGATGTGCTTTTGCCTGCAGTGTGACCGTAGCCATTGACAGGGATTTCACCGTTCAGAGCTTTGGTAAAACATGGAGCTTCAGACGGGGTAAAGCTTCTGAAGCCAACTGTGCTGATGATGCAGCTTATCTCCGAATGATTCATCTTAATCACAAATCTAAAAATCAGACAGATTTGTGATCCGATTAAAAGTTAAAAGCTCACGTTTGGTCCTCTTCCTCCTCTGAGTGGTGTTGCTTACTGCTCTTCCTCCTGTCCTCCACTAGAGGGAGACTGAACTCTATACCTAAACAAGAACGGGACAGTCAGCACAGTGATGCAAAACAAACACCCTCCTGGATTAGTTGATACAGGGTATCTGCAGGTTTAAGGGAGCCAAATTTAAGACTTTTTAAGACCTTTTTTAAGGCCACTTTGTCCAAATTTAAGCTATTTTTAAAATTAAATTTAAGCTATAATTTCCAGCTATTGCCTGGATCCGGTGCTGACCACGTCGTGAACGTGGGATTAACCATCCAGTTACCATTAAACTTGCACTTCCCATGGCGCAAGCTCCCACTAGCTTAACCAGCTAATGTGCTCATCTAAAAATAGCCCCCTTTCACAACCAACTGAATGTGTACGGTTCCGCTTACGCCAATATCGTACACAAAAAATGCTGAACACCAACTAGAAATTCACGAAAATTTTTATAGAAATAAAATAATCTTGTTTATTGGGTCTTTGGTAATTTAAGACCTTTGGAAACTGGATTTAAGGATTATTTGTCATTTTTAAGGATTTTCAAGGCCTTAAATTTGGAAAAGTAAATTTAAGACTTTTTAAGACTTTTTAAAGAGCAAGTCAACCCCTACCAGAGTCTAACTCCACTCCCACTTAATGTTTGAAAAATGCAACAAATGCTGTTGCCTGGCAGACCGAGAAGGCGGAGCTGCTAACAAATACACACACACAGGCTCACGACAGCATTGTGACATCATAATGTACCAGTTTACATCATAGCATACCTCTTAGCCAATAGCGGTGGCAGATTTAAATTACAATACAGTGCAGAGTTTTTACCTGACAACGGCACAACACTGCCAGTTTTAGGCAGAATATTTAAATTTTAACTAAGATGCACTGAAGTGCCAAATTATTGACGACACATGTCTGCAGCACAATTAGACACTTGTTTATTTAGTTTATCAGCAAAAAAAAGTTTATTTGGGGGTGACTTGCTCTTTAAGGACCCGCGGATACCCTGTGTTAACCAGAAACTTTACCTTCAGACTTCATAGCTTCTCTGAGGCCACGAGTCGTCGGAGAGACCAGAGCAGTGATGCAGCCCGACCCGCTGAGACCCGCCGCCCTGAACAGAACCGTTAGCTATCGGACAGCAGAGGACATTAGAGACAGGTGGCTTACTGAGGAGAGCTCTCAGTGGACACAAACACACCTGATAGGAGCAGACATAGAAGTATGGACACAGTCCAGACTTTAAAAGGCTGTAGAGAGACGACAGGCTGATGGACCTGAAATGAGAAGAACAGAAAATCCTCATGATCAAAGTTGTAATCTCCTTCCTGCTGAGGAACAGATGCTCACCAGTCCCTCATCAGGCTCTGCTGCAGAGCTGCATCGTGAGCCCAGGGCGAGCTCCTCCCCGAGAAGTTCCTCTCCGCGTTGATCCGGGGGAAGAGAGAGAGCCAGGGCAGGGAGGGGTGCTGCCAGTACACCAAACACTGCTGGAAGGCACAGCGGAGCTCTGAGCAGAACTGGGGATCCTGCCACTGGCAGATGGGGTGCTGCGTTAGTCAAGAGACGTGTGTGTGTGTGTGTGAGTGGCTGACAGAACCTACCTGTGCGTGTTGTGGCAGAGAGCTAAACTGGGCTCTGCAGCTGCAGCTCAGGCCTAAAGCTTCTTCCTGGGCTTTGGGCTGCTCGGCCCATGAGAGGGAGTGGGGGGAGGTGAAGAGCAGCCGGGTCTTCAAGCTCCAGTCTGTCGGGTACCGAGTGCAGCTGGGAGGAGCAATGGAGGAGGAGGCGATGGTGCGGGGGCTCTGGAGAACACACAGGAAGGACACATTAATCAGGGATGAGCCTCACCTCATCTGGGTCTTTTTCATGGACCCGTTTCTGACTGGTGGCTCAACGGGGTTTACGTCGGCCATGTTGGGTGGGGAAACAGGAAGGGACTACTTTCATCAGGAAGGTGAAGGGAGAATAAAAACGTTATGTAATATCAACACATTCCCACTATGTAGTCTGCGTGTCTAAAGTGTTTAATGGTTCATCTCTACTTTGCATTTGTTTATGGTCAAATAAATGGCCTGTATTTGATATAGCACCATCTAGAGTCCTGGAACCCCCCAAGGCGCTTTACAACACAATCAGTCATTCACCCATTCACACACACATTCACACACTGGTGGGGATGAGCTACAATGTAGCCACAGCTGCCCTGGGGCGCACTAACAGAGGCGAGTCTGCCGAGCACTGGCGCCACCGGTCCCTCCGACCGCCACCAGCAGGAAACGTGGGTTAAGTGTCTTGCCCAAGGACACGATGACAGCGACAGACTGAGCGGGGCACGAACCCGCAACCTTCCGATTACGGGGCGAGCTCTTAACTCCTGTGCCACCGTCGCCCACGCACCACATTTATTATAAACCTACCTTGAGCAGTGGACTCAGAACTTGTTCGTCCTCTGGTCCAGACAGAGAGTCGTCCTCAGAGAGACATTTCTGCAGCAGAAAAACAAACACTGAATAAAAACAGCTGATCATCCTGCTTTTGTTGGTTTGATGGGGATTCAGCAGCTCAGGGTTGGGTTCTGATGAGGAGCTGTCCCGGTGATCGAACTACAGCATTTCATTCATTGGTTCATCGAGAAGCTATTTTCTCCCACTGCTACATGTTTTATCCGTTTACGGTTTAAACGTGGCTGCACTGTGGTGCAGCACTGCTGCTGCACATCGGGATGGTTGCAGGTTCAAATCCTGACTGTAGCTTTACTGAGTGGTGTTAGCGTGCTCTGGTTTAATCCCACACACATCAAACTGAATTGTTCCTGGTGAGTTTGTGACTGGCTGTGTCTCCATCATGAACTGGAGACATGTCCAGGTGTCTCCCATCTCTTGCTCAATGACTGCTAGAGTTGGACACCAGCAAATCCGAGTTTATGGAAGTAAATGAGGGTGCTGGATGGATGTAGTTGTCCTCCCACCTCCTTCAGAGCAGATCTGTGGAGCTCATACTCAGGTTTTGGACCACATGTGACAGCAACCTGGGCTGGATCACCTGTCTGCATCACTAACCTAAATACCCCAATAATAATAATACGTCGTTAACACCAGCTGTCTGTAGAACCTGACATGAATCCAGGTGTGACTTGTCCAGGTCTACCAGGAGGGTCGTCGCCTCCTCCTACCTGAGTGGAGCAGCCGCTGACCGCTGCCGACGTCTTCTCTTTCGCCTCCTTCTCCTGCTTTACTTTCTTCCGAGTCTGGACATATCCGCCATCTTCGTCGCAGACCACGGGGACGGAGGTGTTTTCACGGTTAGCAAACGGGTTTCTCCGTTTAACGTCGTTTCTAGAACAGCTCTGCTCATTGAGGAGCGGTTCTGGGGAGGAGATTCGACCGCATAACGAACTGCTCGGTCCGGAACTCAAAACCACCTCACTGCTCGATAAAACCGTGCTTCGAGCTCTTTTTCTCCTCAGACGAATGATTTCTGCCGGCCGCTTGAAGCTCGGTGAGTACCCTGTCTCCTGGGCCATGCGGAAGCGCTACAGCTAGCTGAGCTAAGAGAGAAATATGGCTGAACTTTGAGTTTGTTTACACTGCAGTCTGGCCGCTCCAAATTTCGCGCGCAGCTGGTGTCATTTTTTTCTTCCTCTTCGTGTGTTTACTGGCAGATGGTAACATCGTTCTGGTGCGCCAGCGCTGCCTGCTGGGTAGGAGGGCGGTCAGTGCAGCCAACCAAAGCTAAAAGTAGATTCTGGTCTTGCCCTGCTGCCATGGTCCGAGGTGAGTCACCCTCCTCACAGCTCTGTGTTTCACCATGGAACAGAACGTTAAAACACAGACAATTAAAAATGTAACTCCCAAAACAAAAAATAACATCTCCAATTACACACAGACATTACCTGATAAGCTTGTGATTGGTGTCAATGTGCACCATATACTTTGGGCAAGGAACTGTGTGTACGTCCTTCTCACTACACATCCCAGATGTGTCATTCGAGCAAGTACAACCGCACTGTCCACACGATGCATGGATGCATACAGTCGGTCCCACTGTACTCTATGTCCCTGGGCAAGTAGAGCACCTCGGACTACCCTGTACCCAGCATCTGGCATGTTGCTCTTAATTACTGTGATAAAATGATGTAGTTCCTCATCACTGCATTTACTGTATGTGGCAGATACAAATATATAAATCAATATATTATTTTCAGACATCCGTCTAAATAGAGTTGCTCTGGATACACCAAGGAGTTTGGTAATGACACTTGTTGGCAGACCCATTTCCACAAGGTGTTTGAGAGCCTCTCGCGACACCGCCAATCGTTGACGGCCACGAGAACCTCTTTCAACGTGTACTGTTATTAATGTCTTTTGATTATCTCTTTCCTGCTGGATAATAGTATTCAGATCGGAAAGAGCAGAAAGTATATCCTCTCCCTCCCACATCAACAATGTCACCTAGAGCACCTAATAAAACTAAATAATGGTGACAAGCAAACTGTAGCCCTTCCCCATCAACAGGTTGCCTCTCCAAGATGCTTGACAGTCGATCGTAAAACCTCTGAAGGATGTCACGCCTCAATGATTCCTAGAGGAAAAAACAAAAACAAAAACAGAACAAACATGAATTGGATTACTGTTGGGTAATAGAAATAAAATAACAACTTCCAAATATCTTATGGCACTTTTATTTTTTAACACTCCAGCTATGATAGTTTTAATAAAAAAACATTTTAAAATTATGGTGGAAAGTTAAATATTTATTTTTAATGACTGGAATTTTAGATTTGTCATGTAGGATAACGTTTTCGTTTTTCATCTTTGTACATTCATGCTAGCGTTAGCATCTGAACTGGAGGCTCTTTAGTGAGATATTTCATTAATAACTATTAATTGTGCATCAGTGCCACTGCTGGGCTCTCTATCAGGCGTACAGTGGTTGGCGGACATTCTTTTTGGGCCAACAGTACCGACCATCAACATATATACTGGACAATTCATTTCCATAGGCTCCAATAACACATTTTTGTGCCAAAATGGGAGGTGGCCACCACCGCCATTTTGACCGTGTCACAGGTACCGTCAAGCCCAGACAATTCCACAAAAGGCAAGAGAGGTGGAGCTGAGGGTGGGGCTGTAAGGCTGGGATCAACTGACGACACCCGGTCGAACTAGCTACAAGCTAACCTGAAGCTAACCCAAAGCTAACGCAGAGGTGGGAGCTAAGCTAACGAAGGTAGCAACCATCGATATATATGGTAGCAACCTAGCTACAACCGGAGTTAACTGTGCACAACACCAGAGCTTCTGAGTCAGAGATGCTTGGAGGATTTTTACTGTTATTTTTTAGCTTTTTTCACTTTTTGAGCATTTGTTATGATGTGTAACCATGGCAACACGCTGGTTTTGCAATCGGGAGCAGCTGATTAACGTTGGAAAGACTGAAATAATACCTCAACTGAAGCCACAAATCCCAAATGAGCTAAAACGCAAGAAGCGTGGGTGCAGAGCGGGAGCAAAACGGCGACAGAGAAAGAGAAAATTCAAACCATCTCTTCCATCGTTCATAATGGGCAATGTGAGATCACTGACCAACAAGATGGAGGAACTCCTAACCCTTTCAAGGACTCAGCCAGAGTTTCGACAGTTTCGGAACCGCTGGAGGAGATAATGCAAAGAAGGATTCTCCAGAGAATCAAGAAAATGATGGACAACCCTGAGCATTCTCTCCACAAGACTGTCCGACAACGGAAGAGTGTCTTCAGTCAGAGGCTTCTTCAGTTTGGCTGCAACACTGACCGCTACTGGAGATCCTTCCTGCCAACAGCCATTGTAATATACAACAACTCTTTGATGACTTGATTATTATTATTATTATTATTCTGAGCTACTACAGATATCAATTTCCCTCTGGGATTAATAAAGTATTTTTGAATTGAAATGAATACGCTGGGCTGACCGCTGGGTAAAACCGGGTGGAACACAGTGGTCTTCCGAAAGCTGCTGAAAGCCGGCAGCCCCCGCAGCAGACAGAAGCCGCGATCAGACAGAGATGTGCCGAGCTGCGGGGAGGGGAGAACCACAAGCTGGCAGCCCGCGCAGTAGAGCCCTGCACTGAAGCCCTAGGCCCTCGGGTCGGCGTGGGCCGGGCCTCGGGCCAACAGCTGTGTAATTACCTCGGACACGGGCCGGGCGCCTTTATTTTTAATCAAATTCATAAAAAAAGTTGAAACACTTAAATGCAGCAGTAGAGCCCTGCGCGGGACTGTTTTCTTCATTCCTTTCCTGCCCGCTCCCGCTGGATTTCTGACCATTACCGCCCGCACCCGCAGCGTGCACGTCTACTCCTGCCCGCAACCGCAAAACTCGGAGAAATTATTACCTCACAATAAAAGAGATGTATTGAGTTTGCATCCTCAACATGCCATTTTATAGGCAATATCGGGGGTCGGCAACACGCGGCTCTTCCATTCATCTGATGCGGCTCTCTGTGCTTGTAAAATAATGAATGGATATTTAAATAAAATGCTTTATATTTTACTGACTTAATTTTACATCTGTATGCCAATTCCAAATGTAAAGATTGTCTGCGTAAACCTGAACAGGTCCAACCCGGTCTTACTGTGAGACCGGGTTGACGCGTCACGCTTGTGCGTAATCATGCGCTTCTGAGCTGAAGAGGATGTGAGATTCTGGGCTTCTCCTCAGACGGCTCCTGGATGTGTCGCCACATTGGAGACAGGAACAAGCACTATTCAGCCAAAGTTTCATAATCAGGGAACATTTTCTAAGTGACAATTCTCTCTGAGTGTCAGGGTTTGGAAAACGCTCGCTTCAGTGGGAGGAATCTTCCCGCATGCGCTCTGGTTCTGCGACGCGCTCCAAGCTCCTCTCCACATCTTCAGCTCGCTGTGTACCTTATGTAGTACACGCTGACAGCGAGCTGCGCTGAGCAATGTCCAGCTCAGATGTTCAGATGGGAATCTTTTCTTGAGTGATTTAGCTACATCTGCGATGTGTGTAGAATTAAATGTCAGTTCGTCTGCATGCGTCGGAGTAATTCTTTTTATTATTTCTCCGTCAAAATAAACTGTCAAATACGGGAACTATCCGGTCAACACAAGCCCTGCTTTTAACTGTTTTGTTTTCTTGTGAAAATAGATCAAATTAAACTTGATTAACACCAGAGCCAGGCGTACAGTGCAGTGCGCGTGGCTCTGGGGTTAATCAAGTTTAGTTGTTTCTCTTTGCAACAATCTTCACAAGAAGGCAAAACAGTTAAAGGGCAGGTTACAGATATTTCCATTTGACTGTTTATTTTGACGGATAAACTCAAGGATGTTGGTTGTTTTGAAAGAATTACCCCGACGCACACTGATGCGCATGGATGAGCTGACATTTTAATTGTTAACGCACATCGCGGAGGTAACTAAATCAAGAAAAGATTCCCATCAGAACATCAGAGCTTTATACTGGACACTGTGTTCAGCATGGCTCGGAGTGCCCACGGCGGACAGTGAGCTGATGATCTGTAGAGGGGTTCGCAGCGCAGCGCAGAACCACGGTGCATGCGATAAGATTTCCTCCCACTGAAGCGGTCTGGAAACCCGGTCTCTCTGAGGGATGTGTCACTTGGAAAAATGTACTTTTTATGAAATTATGAAACTTTGGCTGATCAGCGCTTGTTCCCGTCTCTAATATGGAGAAGCATGATGCATCCAGTCTGAGGCAGAATAGCCTCTTCAGCTCAGAAAGCACCTGTAGATACATTTGATTACGCACAAAGTTTATGTGGAGCAGAAGCGGTCGGGCCACGGCAGGTGAAATGTTCCTAGTCTACATGAAGTGAAACTGTTTAATTGTAACATTAATATGTTACTGGACACACTGGTCTGGTTGGTTAGACCAGTGTTTGAAGTGGAAAACACACACACACACACTCACACTCACACACACACACACACACACACACACACACACACACACACACACACACACACACACACACACACACACACACACACACACACACACACACACACACACACACACACACACACACACACACCAATTAAAATAATGCTGATAGTGTGGACTAGAAGCCAGGTGATGGTTTACGTATTTAAATGATGATCAGGCTGCTGTAAAATGTAATCTCCATCCACATCCAGACACAATTATCCTCTATTCTTTCTCTATTTGCTCTGCTCTTGTCTGGGCTGATGTAGCTGATGGTGCGCGCGGCGCGCCTAACTAGCGGCTGATGCACATTTTACGCATTTGGAGAGGTGGGCTGGATGCTTTGCTTTTACGGGAAGATGGTCCACTTAACGCACGGGTGTAGACTACATATTAATGACAAATGAATGAAAATTAAATTGTGAGTTTTTACTTCATATTTTAGAAATAAAAATGACGGGGGAAAACATTTATGACGTCTTTTTAAACGAAATTTTCTAGCGCGACCTGCCTGCTTCACTTAAGTCACTGCTTATTAAGGTCCGTCCAAAATTACCGTGGGAAATGGTTAATAATGGCTCTTTGATGGGAACAGGTTGCCGACCCCTGGTATAAGATCTGAGCTGGTAAAACAAATATCCTCATCAGCAGGCTTTTTTGAAAGTGTGTGTGTGTGTGTGTGTGTTTGTGTTGGGCGGGGTGGGGGTTTTACAGCTGCCAATCACAAATTTTGCCGGGGACATGTCCCCGGCGTCCCCGGTTAAAATGACGCCTATGATTCTATGTAAAGATTGTCTGCGTAAACCTGAACAGGTCCAACCCAGTCTTACTGTGAGACCGGGTT